AGAGCCGCCTTTTAACAAAAAAAATAATAAGTCTCTGCTTTGTGACTCACAGTGCTGTTGCTGTAACACTCTACCCCCTCTCAGCACCGCCTCTCCCCCTCCCCGTGCTTTCCTCCTCCATCATTGGTGACCCCCTCTCCTCCGCCCCATCTTATCCCTAGCCCCTCACAGTGACAACGTTTCCTACTGAATGTCACGCCTTATGTTCTTTGTTTCCAGTATCTTTGGATGTTCCTTACTCTGCCATTATGCTTATTTCCCGCAGATGAGAGAGATCACTCTGTCTATCCCTCTCCCTCCACTTTAAGCCACTCAGCATGATGCCCTCGGGTCCCTCCATGGAGCAGCAAACTGCATGACTTTATCTCTTCTTATGGCTGAGTAATGTTCCAGTTTGTCTATGTACCATCGTTTCTTTATCCAGTCGTCTGTTCTTGGACACTTGGTTTGTTTCCAGATTTTGGCTATTGTGGAGATGTCCTTTCTCCGTTTTTTGGCGGGGGCCCTGGGTTATAACCTAAGAAGCGGAGTTGCTGGATCAAATGGAAGCTCTATTCCTAGATTTTTGTTTGTTTGTTTGTTTGTGTGTATGTTTTAGCGCAAACTTCGTGTAAAAGTTCCCAGCCACTGTTTCTCTTTGTCCCACACAGAGAGACCCAGTGTGGCGGGTAGCAAAAAGCCCCACTTGGCAGCTAGCAGGGGCATCTCTGCGGATGGTAGAGGGTTTGCCAATATGCTGGTGTTTACCACCTTTGAAGGGCGGTTCATGGTGACACCTCCCTCACCCCCACACACAACACATTCACAAACACACACATACATATACTCTCTCTCTCTCTCTCTCTCTCTCTCTCTCACACACACACACACACACACACACAGAGCCAACTGTTCCTCTTTGCCATATACTTCCACAGTAGCACATCCAGCCATCAGTCTGGGCTTGTCAGTACCACCACCTCTGGCCACCACACTTGCCACATACAGCTGTCTGCTGAAGAAATGACCTTCCTGGAGCCTGAGGGTGGCCTCCTTCGTGTCTTCTTGGTTTCAGGGTTGTGAGAGATGACAGTGGCATAGTTCCCCAAGGCGTGGGTCAGCTTGCCTCGGTCACCAGCCTTCCCCTAGGTAACATATGATGGTGCCCACTGGCATGGTGCCCACTGGGAACACAGTACCGATATTGAGTTGGATGCCCTTGGCAGCGATGAACAGCTCTGTCCGCTTACTGAACTGGTACGGGTCCCAGAAGACTACCTTAGTGAGGGGAGCCCCAGGGCTGGGGTCGTGGACATCGTCCCTCACGATGCCTTTGATGGAGCTGTGGCGCCTAGTGAAGTCCATGGCACACACCCTTGTGATGCTTCACGTGAGCATGGAATATGGAGCCTGTGCCCTTCCTCTGCCCATGGATCACATGGTTCATGGCAGCATGTGCTACTGAGCACGGCCGAAAGAGCCTCCTAGGTTTTTAAGGAATGCCCATGATGTTTTCCAGAAAGGCTGGACCAGTCGGCATTCCCACCAGCAGTGAATGAGAGTCCCTTTCTCTCTACATCTGTGCCAGCACTGGTCGTTCTTGTTCTTTTTGACATGTGTCAGTTTCAGTGGTGTGAGATGGTATCTCATTTTATTTTGATTTGCATCTTCCTAATGTTTTGTGATTGGATAAATGTTTTTGTTCTTGGTCCAGAGTGATAGAACAGTGGGGAGGGCGTTTGTCTTGCAAGCAGCCGACCCAGGTTCGATCCCCAGCATCCCATATGGTCCCCTGAGCACCGCCGGGAGTAATTCCTGAGTGCAGAGCCAGGAATAACCTCTGAGCTCTGCTGGGCATGACCCCAAAAGCAAAATAAATATATAAATTTTAAAAGATGTTTTTGTTCTAGGCTATGTACCTAGCAGGGGAAAGACTGGTCTTATGTTCTGGTGGTGTGACTCTGTTGAACTTTTTGAGGATCTGTCAAGACTGGACCATTTTGTACCTCTGCTAACGGTGTCTGAGGTTGTTTCCCAAGTTCCACAACCTTGTGGTCTTTTTTCCCCCCTATCCTGATAAGATTTAAATAATACCTAGTCGTAGCTGTGCTTTGCATTTCCCTAATGATTAGTGATCTCAAACATCTTTTTGGCTTCTGATTGGCATTTACAGACTGTTCTTTTTTCAGTGTTTGTTTTGGAGGTGATGGAAATCAGGGCCTTGTACATAGACAAGGAAGAGCATCTGCAAGACGAGTCTTGGTTACCGAGCCCTGCGCCCAGCCTGGTTTAGTAGATCTCTGGGGGAAATTTCTGTTCGGTCTTTTGCTTACGTGCCTTTTCCAGCTGAAGGGAAAGAGGTTTAATGAGACACGGTCTGGGGAAGAGGTTGATCTTTGTGCACCTGTTTAATTATACTTTGGTTTCGGGGCCATACTCAGTGATCCTTGGGAGTGCCCGGGGGAATCATTCAGCACTGGGGATCACACCGGAAGCCTCTTGCTGGCAGAGCACGAGCAATGTTGAGTGCTCTCTCTGCCTTGCGGTCGACCTTTTTGTAGAACTTGGGAGACCCTCTTGAGTGGTGCTCAGGTGGCCTGGGTTCCCACTGGCAATTCATGGCCAACCAGGGGTGTGGTTTGGCACAAGGGACCTAGGATGGCAGCTCTTTGGGTCCTGGGGTGCTGGGCATTCCCCGGGGACTTTGAAGGCCGCACTCAGGGGTGCTTGGAGACCATGTGGTGCCGAGGGCCTGCAGCTGGCCTTGTTTCTGGACTTGTTTCGGCTTCTGGTGTTCCACTGTGCCGTCCCCTGTCCTCAGGACTTCCCTTCTTGCGGTGCTGCCCAGAAGCCTCATCAGAGCAGCCGTTTCTGCAGTTTGTTCCTCCAGTCAAAAAAATCTCCGTCGCAGGGCTGGAAGCACAGTACAAGGGGTAGGGAGGGCTCTTGCCTTGTCCCGGCCTATCCTGGTTGGATCCCCGACACCCCAGCTAGTCCCCCAAAACCCTGCCGGGAGTGGCCCCTGAGCACTTCCAGGTGTGGCCCCAAAATGGAAAAATAAGAACAAAACAAACCTGTGTGGCCCTGGAGACTGATGGTGCCTGTGCTTTCCAGTCAGCCTCTGAGGACACTGCCCACCCCTCACCCCAGCTCTCAGTTAGGAAGCGATTCTCAATCTCGGGTTTTGTTTCATTTTTCACTGTCTGTGTGGAGTTCTTTGTGTGTGTGTGTGTGTGTGTGTGTGTGTGTGTGTTAGAGAGAGAGAGAGAGAGAGAGAGAGAGAGAGAGAGAGAGTTTTTTCATTGAAGTCTCCACTTTTTCTGTTTCTTTTGGCTGCTTGAGCCTTTGGTGTTCCTTAGTCCGCCCCTTCCCCTTATTTCCCTTCTCCTTCCCTCTCCTTCCATTTTTCATTCTCCTTTCCTTTCTTCCCCTTCCCTTTTCCTTCCCCTTTACTCTTCTCCCTCTTTTTAAATATTTTTTAATATTTTTGCCTTTTGAGGGTCACACCCAGTGTTGCTTTGGGGTTACTCCTGCTTCTGCACTCAAGAATTACTCCTGGCGGTGCTTGGGGGACCATATGGGATGCCGGGGACCCAACTGCGGTCAGCCCCATGCAAGGCAAAATATCCTACAAGCTGGACTGCGGCTCTGACCCCTCCCCTCCCTTTTAAACTTAAGCCTCACAAATGCTCTACTCTTCAGCCAAATTCCCAGCTCATTCCTAAATTCTTTAAAAAACTTAAATATTATTTTAAGTCAAGAATGGGCATGGGGGGTGAGGACTGGAGAGATAGTACAGTGCGTAGTGTGCTTGCCTTGCAGGACCCGACCTGGGTTCAATCCTCAGCACCCCATATGGTCCCCCCTAGCACGACCAGTGAGTAGGGGGACCATAGGCTCTTGAGTGTAGAGCCAGGAGTAAGCCCTGGGCATCGCTGGGTGTGACTCCTGAACCAAAAATAAAGTAAGAAAGAATGAGCACTATTCAGAATAGAATCCTCTTACATTTTTTTCTTTTTATGAAAAGCTTGAAGCACAGACAGAAGTAAAGAGCCTGGACAAATGAGCCCCGTGTACCCTGAGTCAGCTTCAGTAGCTTATCCTCATGACTGCCCTTGTTTTATCTCTGTCCGTTTTTACTTCCACTTGTCCCCAGTTTTCTTTCACTTTGAAGCAAATTGCACACCATCATTTTGAAGCCACTTGCAAACTTCATATCATTTCAGCCATAAATAGTTCTGTTAGACTCTCTAAAAGAGAAAAAGGATTCTGTTTCTTAGCAGAAAACCGCATACCTTATCATGCCCTAAAAAAAAAAAATCAGCAGCAATGCCTTTCTTTGTCTCTCTCCTTTTGCTTTCTTTGTCTCTCTCCTTTTGGAGAAAGGAGGAAAGTGCTGCGTGCCCACTCCTGGTGGTACTTGGAGGACCGTGTGGTGCTGGGGATCAGACCTTCAGCTCCTGCGTGAAAAGCGTGTCTCAGCTCTGTGAGCGTCTCCCAGCCTGGCCGTAACGCCTCAGAGTTACAGGCTAAGACATTGCTTGTGAGAATGTATTGTTTCTGCAAAGGAAAAAACCAACTTAGTAACATACACGAGGAGTGTACATGGCTATGGAGAATATGAGTATTTTGATTGGAAGTGATTAGTGGTATTATTAAAAAAATTAAGCAAGGGTCGGAGAGATAGCTCGGTGGATTGGCTGGGAGGCCCAGGCCCAGGTCTGGTTCTCTGAGTTCCGGGGCACGGCCGGGAGCGATGCACAGAGCTGGGGTTAGCCCTGAGAGCTGCCAGGGAGCGGCCCCCAAACAGAGACAAGTGAAAAAAAGAGAAAGAAAATGAAGCAAATTGTGAAATAATTCTTCAATCTTCACAATTAATTCTCATCAAGTGACCCGTGGCAAACTCTTTTCTTCCTTCCCTTAGAACGTTTGTCATTTTGTGTGACACATAATCTATTTCCAACCTCTGCCCAGTGTATAAAGTGAAAGATTAACTTATGACTTTTGCCCTCGATTTCTAGCATAGGGAGAAATTTTGGAAAAATCCTGCTCTTATCTGAGATTGCACAAATGTTCAGAGAAACCTGGGAAAATGAGGAGGCCCGGTCAGTGGATTTTCTCCGTTCAGCTCTCCGGGAGTGTCAGCTGTGTGTCCCCGTCCCATGCCTGGCTGGCTATGCGCGCCCTCAAGGTACAGTATTGGGGTTTTTACAGCTGACGGGCAGTGCCATCGAGGGAGAACATGGGACGTAGGATCTGGAGGCTGAAAGCCGCTGGGAAGAAGGATGCTGTGGAAAAACGCTTGAACCCTAGAGCAGGTTTTTGGCTTGGGGGACTGATGGGCAGATGAACTGTAGGGCAGAGGCGGCCTGACCCTTATCAGAAATGCCTGCCTTGGAGCAGTCTCTGGGCAATGCCGATAAGTCGTGAGCCTGGAGGGGCTGGAGAGAGAGTGCTGAAGAGACAGCATTTCCTTACATGTGGTGGGCCCAGGTTCAACGCCTTGTACCACATGTGGTCCCCTGAGCACATCCAAGGGTGACCTAGCTCTGTCGCATTGTAGCACTGTCCTCCTGTTCATCGATTTGCTCTAGCGGGTACCAGTAGCGTCTCCATTGTGAGACTTGTTACTGTTTTTGGCATATTGAATATGCCCCGGGTAGCTTGCCAGGCTTTGCCGTGCTCGTGCAATACTCTCGGTAGCTTGCCGGGCTTTCTGAGAGGGGCGGAGGAATTGAACCGGGGTCGGCCCGGGTTGGCTATGTGCAAGGCAAGCGCCCTACCCGCTGTGCTATCGCTCCAGCCCAAATGTGACCTAAACAATTTTAAACTAAAAAAATAACTTTAAGGGGTTTGAGAGATAGGAGAGATAGTTCAGTGGGCAGGGTGCTTGCCTTCCATGTGGCCAACCCGGGTTTGATCCCTGGCATCACTATGCAGAGCCCAGAGTAAGTCCTAAAGCACTGCCTGGTGTGACCCTCAGAAACAAACAAACGAAAAAAGAACAGGAGAAATCTTTAAAAAGAAAAAGTAATATCCTGGCCAGGGGAGAGGCTTAAAGGGTGCAGCTGGAGCCCAGAGTAAGTCCTAAAGCACTGCCTGGTGTGACCCTCAGAAACAAACAAACGAAAAAAGAACAGGAGAAATCTTTAAAAAGAAAAAGTAATATCCTGGCCAGGGGAGAGGCTTAAAGGGTGCAGCTGTGATTGACATGGGGGAGCCCTGGGTTTGAGTGTCATCTTTGGCAAGACCTGGGAGGCCGGAGCGATAGTACAGCCGGGAGGGCATTTGCCCCAAATGTAGCCGACCCAGGTTCAATCCCTGGCATCCCCTATGGTCCCCTGAGCACAGAGCCAGGAGTAACCCCTGAGCATCGCCGGGAGTGACCCAAAAAGCAAAAAAAAAAGAAGGAATAATGGCAAACCCTGCAAACTGGGATAGTTCCCTGTACCCTCAGCCCTCCTGAGTATAGCGCCCCCAAGCCTGGAAAGAATAAAGACTAAGTCCAAGACTCAGAGAGGTTAAGCAACTGGCCCCAGGTCTGGGGATGAGGCTCGTGGCCAGTAGCACAGTGGAGAGTCTGGGCCTGGCAGCATCTGGCTGGCGCCTGATGCTAGAGATCTCGCCCTGTGGCTCACATCTGGATGTGGCTTAATGGGTACAAATTGCAGTGCCGAAGGGACGGTCCATGGGGGAAATCTCTCTGGGACACCTCTGTCCTTTCCATCAGGAAACGTGAGTCCTAGGTCATAGCATGTTCTCTGACCTTCAGTGTGCCTGCCCGGCAGAGGGGCCGGCCGTGTCCCGGGGCGCCCCACGCACAGACCATGCCATTTGCTGAGGCAAAGGGACCGGATGGCTCAGACTGGTCGCATCTTGTCCAGAGCTACATCTGGGGCAAAGCGAAGAGTCAGGACAATGGGTGTTAAGTTGTTCTGTCTCCGGGGGAGGCCCTTGGCTTGTGCTTGCTGTGCCTGTTTTTGCCCCGGAGGAGGAACCCTTTCTCAAAGGTATGTCCAGCTCATCCCTTGGAGCCCAGGCCCCGAACGTCGCGTCTGCCCACTTCGGCTTTGCTTACCCGCTGACTTGGCCCCTCTTGGTCGGAGTGCTAGCACACTTTCTGTTCTCTCTCTGGGTTGTCGTACTCTTCGTGGCCTGCGGTCGGGCGTCCTAATGACCAAAGGGCCAGCAGTGCTGTGAAGTCTTGTCCCGTTTCGTGGCTGGGGCAAGCGTACGGCGGGGAGGCTCTGGCCCTGCAGGAGACCAACCCGGGTTCAATCCCCAGCAACCCATAGCATCCCCCAGGGGTGATTACTGAGTGCAGAGCCATGAGTAGTGTGCGCGTGTGTGTGTGTGTGGGGGGGGGGGGGGGCCAAAACAAAACAAAAACAGGAAACCCTTTCCAGTTTCACCACCTTTCGTTGCCGTTGCCATTTTGCTTGGACTGTGGTCATGCGTAATCCAGAAGTTTTCCTAGTCCTTGCAGTTTATGGGAAGGATAAATGATCTGTTTTTGGTTTTGTTTCCCTGCTTGTTTGACTCCTGGGGCAGTGCCCAGGGGTTACTCCCCACTTGCGCAACGGGTCGTCCTGGCGGTGCTGGGGGACCATGCGGTATTGGGGTGCTAGGGGGAGCGTGCCTTTCGGGGAGTGAATCCGGGCTTCCTTCATGTACAGCGTGTGCTCCAGCCCTCCGGGTCACCTCCAGCCAGGACAAATTGTCTTCGCTCTCCCAACTGAGCTGTTTCAGGGACTAGGATGAATTGTCTTAGGGCTGTCTGCCCGGTGCCTTAGACCATGAAATCTTAGATGTGGAATGGAGGGTCATGGAATAGCCTCGGGAGGGGGAGATAATTGGTGACTTACGTAAGATCCTGTAAATGGGGGGGACGGCTGGGTGCCAGGAGCTATGTTTCCAATGAGACCCTATTAGGTTTCACAATCCTTTGTGCAAAGGGATAAAAACGGGGGTGGGGGGTGGGGGAGAAGAAAAGCATCTTCAAGGTGTTGCTAATGGAATTTTCTGGGGGGGGGGGGCTGGGAGGAGAGGGAAACCAAACTCAGCACAGATTCACCCCAGAGCCCCTAAGTGAAAAACCGTGACCAAGGGGCTTTCTGGCAGGGCCCGGCTCAGCTCGGAGGAAGGCACTTTTGCTTCTGAGCTTCCTGAGGTGCTTTAAATTCCCCGGCTGAGGATTTGGAAGGGTTTCCTCATATTCCCTCTGACTTGAGCTCAGCCTTCCTGGTCTCTTAGTCATTTCTGGGGCTTCTTTTCTGTGGCCAGGGGAGTGTCACCAACTTTCATGTGGGGGGTTGGATTGCTTTGTCTTCATATTTGCCGTCTTCTGTATCCTGGGGTCTCTGATTAAGGCCCCTTTATGCAAACCAGTGCTTGCTGCTGCGAGGGCCACAGAAATGCAGGTTCTTTCTTCTTTTTTTTTCCTCTCTCTCTCTTTTTGGGTATGTTCAGGGTAGGCTCAGAAGACTTTGTGGTGCTGGGGATTGAACCTGGGTCAGCCGCGTACAACCCAAGCGCCCTACCCACTGTACTGATGCTTGGGCCGGAAGTGCGGGCTCTTGTCTCCTGAATTGCTGGTATTCTTTTCCCCATGGTTTCCTTCAGACCTCGTTTCCTCCCTGTGGTCCTCCTTGTCCAGTAGGCCTTAGTCCAGTATTCTCCATATCCACCCTCCATGTGATCTTCATCATGACCCCCTCGGGGTATTCTGGGGGTACATTGGGGCAGGGAGTACATCTGGCCTCAGTGGAGAAATACTGCTTTAGATGACTGTGCGGGGCTATGAATGTGCGGGGCTAGGAGAGTAAGCGGAAGGGTACAGGAGTTAAGGTGCATATCTTGCACGTGGCTGACCCTGGTTTCCCCCAGGCATCACCGGGGGCAGCCCTGGAGACCTTGATCTCTGCCAGGAGAGCCCGTGTGGTCTCTGGCACCCAAAGGCGGTGTCCTCAAGCCCTTGCATTGAACTGCCAGCCCAGCTGGCCAAAGATCACCAACGGGGCCCCCAGATCTACCTCCTGAGCACTCTTGGGAGGCCCTCCCCGTATCCCCCCCACCCCCCACCCCCAGAATAAAAGGGAAAGGGGAAAAAGAGTGCCTTGGATGTTCCTGTAAAAGAATAAACTCTCTCCCTGGATGGTAATAGCACCCGCTCCTCCGGGGCTCCCAGTGAAACTGACCTCATTGAAACTTTTTTTGATTTTGGTCCACAATTGGCTGTGCTCAGGCCGTACTCCTGGCCCTGCACTCAGGGATCACTCCTGGTGGGCACAGGAGACCATCTGGGGTGCCGGGGGCTCCTTCCCCAGGTCTGCAGGTGCTGGTGGCAAGGAAGACCTCAGGGTCCCTCGATTGTCCAGCCCCACGTTTGTGGTGTGAAGCTTCCGGTTGACTCTTTCTGTAGTGCTCCCTTGGGTTGTGGGGGGGCGGCGGGCAGGGAATCGGGACCCACTCGTGTCTGGCTGCTCTGTGAAAGTCAGCACTCTGCAGGACTTACTCGTGCCGCGGCCTGACCTGACAAGACTTGAGGGCCAGAACCACACAGATGTTCTGCGTCAGCCTTGCCGCCTCTACCCACAGCTCCTGGAGAGAAAAAATGGCCATTTTTGCTCGCTCAAGGATCTCTTCGGTGGCAGGCCTGGCGGTGCTGTTGTGTTCTGACAAGACTCTCTTTCTTCAGGTTCCTTGCTTGCTGCCGGGCTGACTGCATGGCTAGAGGCTGAAGGCGTGCTGACCGGATCCCCGAGGTCCCAGGCCTGGGGTCCCGTTGTGTGGTGTAGGGTGTGTGTGTGTGTCGGGGGGTGGGGCACCTCGGAGTGCTGGGAACGGACGAGAGCTGTGGGGCTTTCCCAGGACGTCTGCCCAGGACAGCTGCGGCTCCTCCGTGGGTCAGCACAGGCGTCCTGGGCCGAGGCCCTGGCCACACTCTGGAATGCCCCGGTCACGTGCAAGCTCAAGTGGCCGCCTCAGGAACATGGTTGCAGAGCACAGGCCGGCCTCAGGCCTGTCTCCTCGGGTTTCCAGCCGGTCCTCGGCCCTGGGTTTCGCCCTCCCGGGACCGCTGGTGAGAGAGCCCCTGACTCATGTGCACCTGTGCAGGAAGCGGCCTCTTGAGCCTGCTCCCGACTCGCTGCCCCGTTGCCTCGGTTTCTGCAGCTGAGAAACGGAGATGGT